TCTTAGAAGGGAGGTGCTGTAGAACCGTCCCTTATATTGGAACTTGCTCGCTCACTATAGGCTCGGTCGATATGGTCTCTGTGGTTGCGGCGTACCCGCCGCGCCTTGATATATTTGCGTGTTGTTATGGAACTATTCTTAGTGAACCCTCGGCATGTACGCCGATAAGCAGAGGGGGAACTCTTGTGTTTTTCTAATGAATCGTCAATGGCTCAACCCGTTCCACACTATATACGATCAGTATTAGTGCTAGTATTATGCATGATGGGCCTCTGACATTGTTAACGAATGTTATCGCTAACTCAGAATCACCTTAATAACACCCCGTCCCTATTTCCGACCACTCAATACGACCTCCAGGTGTTGCATGTCACATCCCACGCTTGACCCCAGTGTTACCATTCATTCAGACGCTGAGAGACCTGTACGCTCTTCATTATCTAAAAGCTTGATCGAGTTTTTGGCGATTTCACACTTATAATCTATCTCATTAAGAATTATATGCTGTTTGGAAGCAAGGAAGAACAGCCTGAGCCTGTCTAGACTCTTGCAAGGCGGTCTTGACTCTTTTAATTTCAGAATGATTATACATGGCCTCACCCTTCTAATTAATCATTCGTCTCTGCGCAAGATAGCGTGGTACAATCAATTTGCGGTATGCATCGGAAGGACCGAAGCGATATACATTATTGAAATCATTTCAAATCTTAGCAACTGCAACTTTTCAACACGGAATACCTTTTGCTAGGAAGTTATGCCGTAACAAAACTTGAATGTTATTTTTGCTTACTGGGACTCCTGTGGATAATCCAAGTTTTATGCATCTTTTCGTCTCACCTGATACGCTTGGTGCGATGTTATCTCTTGTTTTCACTTTGCACTAAGTCACAATTGTGACCTGGAGCGGACAGCGGTCGAATACGTTCAGAATTAAGAAGCCATTATCTGTTATTCGGCGCTGACATCAGCTATAGTATCTAGCCAACGTGGCCATATAAGGCAACCTGGCTGCCTTACCTTTCCTTTCGTGTTGCTTACCACATCATAGGAACGTCCTCCAACTGACATGTGCTCTTCAACCTATAAAAAGGATGCATTTTAATTATTAGTGTCTCATTAGTCATGTGTATGTTGATACGAACTGCGGCGAATAATGATTATATGTGGCAGACGTAGAAGTAGATATCATTTAGCACATTTGTGGTATTTATGAGAATGATTCTGAAATGAAACCGTCGTCGACATAACTTCATTTCCTTACGTGAACCTGTGACAAGTTGGGCAAGATATGAGACAGAGGATCTTCTGGTAATTTCATCAAATACCCCCTTTACACTTTATATTAGTATACAATTACTGGTGTTTGTTTTTGATACATTCTATAAATTAATCAGCAAAAACATGGTGTCATTAGCCAAACATGCGGGTATTGGTACGTTAAGAAGGTGTCAAAGACAAAGTATTAACTTTCAGCAGTGTGTCACAGCGCAAGGTATATTACGCACAATGTATGTCACAATGATAGCTGCGGGCGGTGACATTATAATGTGATAAGCAAGACTATTAATTGCCAAAGGAAAGGTACAATCGAGTAGATTTTCAGCTTAAAGGCAGCAGCTCGCCAAAACCGAACATCCCGAAATCTTGACATGGAGGGATGCTTGCACCCCAAAATGAGAACAGAGCAGGTCCGAGCGCACAGCATGTTGCCCTTGTCATTCTAGTACGCGCGGACGAGCTTGCGATTCTCCCTGACCTGTCAGAAAAGGGAAAGCATGCCGCAATGTTATAACTGTGAAGGTCCCGCGACAATTCTGCCTCTTTGATCATGGCGGGACGTGCTCCACTAGTCCAAATTCAAAATGGGAGGTCGGAAATGGTGGTTTTTGCCATCTTCGCGCTCTTCAAGGTGGATCTTCGGAGTCAGCGCCTCGAATTACCCCAGGTAAGCAAAAAACTCCAAGTCGTGAATCTGCTGAGCCGCTGCCTCTAATATGGTGTGTTTGCACAGAAGGTGAAATGCGGTGAAATTTGCGCTTGAATAATCGGCCACGTCAGTACTGCCGGCATTTGGCACGCAATTGGCCGGCGTCACAGTTGAAGCTATCTGTGGCCCCATTCAAATCTACAGTCTGCCCCAATCGTGATCAGGCCGAACCTCTGGCTGAATTTGCGCGCTCGCAGCGCTAGCTGTTTGCGCTGCATGCGCGCGCTGTCGCAGAGAGCGAAGAGAATGAGGAGAAAGTAGACAAGCTAGTCGCAGATGTGGCGTGAAACCCTCGCGACGCGGACTCCCGCCATTCCAATTTTGCCCTGGTAAGGATTGGGGCAGACTATATAGAGTCGGCTGCGCGGGCGGCCGCGTAGCGCGCGTAGCCTTTGTCACCGGGTCACGCTCGCCGTCGTGCTAAATCTCAACATTTCGATATGCGCTATCGCTATTCGATTGATGGCAGATCGAAAGAATACTGCATTTTACACTCTACGGGCTCTTACGTTGAGCCACTAAATGATGCTCAGACTCCAGGTAGATATTTCAGGAGCCTATTTTGGAGCATTGCAAGATTTGCTACCTATGTTGAGCACCCAAGCTCGATGGCATTCTCACAGTAGCTTCTCGGTTTTAAGATAATGTTAATCTCAATTCAGTTTAGAGCTATGATCTTAACAGCTCCCATGGTTTGGGCAAATGCGTTTGGATTGTGTGTTTATCTAAAACAGTTCATCTTAACAAAACTCTTGTTTTGGAAAAGATGAGCATTTATTGTTACCTCGCTCAGATCTTTGCCACCCTGGTCCTTACTTCTGGTATTTTCAATGGCAAATTGATCTGACAAAGGTTAGTTTGGAACTATCTACAGTTTGAAGGTAATTTGGAGAATCGAACAGTTCGTATGAAAAAGTAAGACTGATAGCTTGGCATGCCAAAATTTTTGCGTTAGAGATGGGTACTACATCAACAGATGACTTCTTTACGATAACGACCGGACTCCCGCTCTTGCGCACCTTTTCGTGAGCTTCTCCGCCTCTAATGTAGTGCATGTGCAAAAATGTTTTGGAGAGAGATGCATGTCAGCTACTTGAAGGCAGCGTCCAGGCAGATTCTCGACTTCTATATTTTTATGTGATCCAGGCCTTTCCATGGCGCTGATTCCGAATATGGAACTCAAAAAGCGTGAATTTCTCAGAAAACCACCCTTTTGGGGCTATGTTGGGAAAACTCGGACGAGTGCTTCTGATGTTATCCTTGTCGAAAGCAAGTATTAACAGGTAAACGCTGTAAGTTCGACTGTGTTGGTCATGTGAAAACACGTCAAGGCGGAGGAGATTTCGTTCATAAGGGGTTGGCCGTCGAGGGAAGTGGGCGTGGTCGTCGAGCTCAGATCTGCCCGGACGCTGCCTTTAAAGATCTTAATTTCCAATAGATTTGGTCTCCTGAGTCTTCCAACATATATGTTTCTGGCCCCACTATCCAGCAGTTATGTAAGAGTGACTCAAGGTCTATTGGAAAGAGGTTATGTGGGAGTGATCTCAAGATCGACTTTTTGCCCGGATTCGGTATGCTGCGTCCATCTCTACCATACTGGATTGCATGCCTTAGGGCATCCAATGTTGATTATTCTGTGCTTGTTTTGTGCAAGGACTATGCAATCCAGTATGGTAGAGATGAACGCAGCAAACCGAAGGACTTTATATTGAACAAAACTGCAGAGAATGATAGTACGTCAGAATCTCAAATACCTTGAGTTGCCCCTTTAGCATAGTCACAGAAGATGCGAATGATGCAACATCTTTTTTACTTCATGAGATGACTAATATTATTCCACGTGTGCATGCAAATCGAATCATGTTTTTTTTTCAAAAAGATCTTCACTAGCGCAGAAACCAACAATCCTGCACGAGTTAAAGAATTGGAGATGATAAGAATAATCGAGATTTATGGAAGCGCCCATTTTAGCAGGATGCTTGCGACAGCTGTAACAAAAAAGAAAGGACTTGCGATACTTTCAAAGGATGTAAACATTCTAGCACTTGCAAACGCATGTAAACTAAACTCACAATCAAATGGATGACATATGCACGAACTCGTTCCGATCAAGCACCTCAATCTCTCAGAAAAGACCGCCACATTTCACTCTCACGAGAACCTGATCGCCACATTTCAATATCACAGAAACTGTTTGTGTTGTCAACGAGTCGCCAGATAGCATATAATGACCTGAGTAAATATCTACAATCCAGCAGAGTGTAGCGCACAGGGCAAGCGTGACCTAATGATAAAGGCTGCGCGCGCTACGCGACCGCCCGCTCAGCCGACTCTGTTCCCTCGATATCATCCCATATGTCTTCCCTCAACATAACGTGGATTACGTGGCTTGATGAGGCGCCGCCTCGCCTCGGGCTCGCGCCACGTTGTGAGCGCATCATTTGGCGCGACGTGGCGCTCAGCACAACGTGGCACAGGGCTTCTCCACGTTCTTCTTGTTGCCACATCACGCCGAAGATGCGCACGCAAACGTGGCGCAAGCCCGAGGCGAGGCGGCGCCTCATCAAGCCACGTAATATACGTCATGTTGAGGGAAGACATATGGGACGATATCAAGGGTAGATTTAAATGGGGCCGCTATGTGTTCTGTTGCGCAAAATCACGCATTTCACTTTCTGTGCAAGCACACTATATTAAGTGGAAAATCTACTCGACTGAAAGTGGCAGCCAGGTTGCCTTTTTTGGCCGCGTTGGCTAGGTACACTGCATCTAAGTTTGTTATAATAGGCTCGCACGCATCCATTAGCCTCTTAGACCATGAAGTAGAGTGCGCTCGGCGCTGCCCGCAAAGGGTATTGAAGAGCCTCATCCACTAGGGATCGTCTCCTTCAGTCTTTAGTTGACTGTCTTGGTCTAATTTTCTAACTTGTTATCAGCGCAAATGTTTCGCTTTGAAAGTATGGACATCAACTCCTCTGTGTGTGAGTTGTATACTTCGAACCCTTTGCCTTATTCTAGATATACTGCGAGTACATGATCGGCATTAATCAATACGCGATGTTCACCCCAAACAGATGGACCGTCGGGGAGTGTCGAGATGTCAAGGTCAGTTTTTTCAGCTAATGCTTCCGTAATTCTCATGGTCAAATCTTCATTATTCCGAGGTACTTGTGGGAAATGATACATAAAGATATGATTGCTGATGTATAGTAGTGCCTTACCGCACATCATTTACAGTGTCATCCTGGTGATCGAAGAGATCAGGAGAACAGCGAGAGTCTCTGTCGAAGTCCGGTTTCACTCTTAGATGAGAAGATGTAAGTTTTTATTGACTGATGCCCGTAAGCGCGTACATCCCCGGTGGTTAGGAGGGGATGAGGGGACGCGTCATTTTTTTTTTTGCTATTTTAGATATCCATATCTTCTTTTTCTCTTTATGTAAAAAGATTCCTTATATTCTGATACTTGAGTATAATGGATGGCAGAAGGCTGCTTACAAGCGGAGTTTTTCAATGTTTCATGTGATCTCCTAGGGATCCCCAGGGGATCTTCCCTTGTTTTCAGAGACGTCTATCTTTCCAGGAAGTTTGAAAAACGTCTTGAAGTTGTACTGAGGATCTGCTGTGGCACTGCTAGGGATGTTTTCGACAAAACTAATAGATTGTGCAGGTTGTGAGTTTTTCGAACCGCAGGTCGCCAACAGCGGTTTGATGAAGATTTCGAGATCTCACTACTTTCTACTATAAACATGTCTAGCAATGCCATAGTATATCCTCAGTATAGGCTGCTGCATGACAGTCGCAATATTTTTGGGCGCAGCGCTGCTTTGTGACTCTCTGGGGATCCCCAAGGGCAAAACGAAAGAATAAAAAACTCAGCAGTGGTAGTGATTTGGTCGAGACCAACAAATGATGTGATGGTTCAGTCATGATCACATCTTGGTGAACCATGATCACGTCGTGGTGAACATGATCAGGGTCAAGCGTGGGGTGCGGCACGCCACACCTGGGGGGTCGTATTGAGGAGTCAAAAGGGGAGGGGGTCGTAGTTGGGTAATCTGATAGTGATAACATGATTTTCGATCCTATCCATGGTTAGCATGTCAAATAACCCCTGTAGACAAAGTGTGAGCGAATTCTGAAGATTCAAGATACTAGGCTACCTAAGTGAAATGGTCAAATTCCAACATGGTTAACTTTGTTTTAAAGGTGAACTAGCTATCCGTTTTTGCACTCAAGACAAAGCACTACTCCTTCTTTGTCCACCTCAGGAATTCCGCTTCAGAAGACCTCCAAACTGTGGAATTAGAAGCCAACCAAAATCTCGTTTTTCCCATTTTTCGCTTTTGATCGCTGTGCTTTCACCAAATATCACTCAGAGCTAAGAAGACGAATCAGGCTCCAAACAGTCCTATGGAATCTACAAGGTTTAGGCTATCGATTCGTATAAGTACTGTCCGCTAAAAATGTTTTTTTGATATAGTTAATGGGGTGCGGCACACCCCTTAAAAGCTGCGGCAGCCGCAGCTTTTGAGGGGGTGTGCGGCACCCCATTAACTATATCAAAAAAACATTTTTAGCGAACGTTATTTATATGAATCGATAGCCTGGATCTCCTAGTTTTCACAGGAGCGATTTGAGCCTGATTCGTTTTCTTTGCTCTGAGTGATATTTGGTGCAAGCACAGCCATTAAAAGCGAAAAATGGGAAAAATGAGATTTTGGTTGGCTTCTAATTCCACAGTTTGGAGGTCTTTTGAAGCGGGATTTCTGAGGTGAACAAAGAAGGAGTAGTGCTTTGTCTTGAGTGCAAAAACGGATAGCTAGTTCACCTTTAAAACAAAGCTAACCATGTTGGAATTTGACCATTTCACTTAGGTAGCCTAGTATCTTGAATTTTCAGAATTCGCTCACACTTTGTCTACAGGGGTTATTTGACATGCTAATTATGGATATGTTGCCCATTATGTTTGACAGGGCCTTCAAGTAATACTATCTTAAGTGTATAGTTCAGGGGGGGGGGGTCTTATTAAGACAGCAATCAGGGGGGGGGGGGGTCGTAACCAGGGTCAAGCAAGGAGTGTGGCACACGATCGCTGGTTACGACCCCCCCCCCCTAATTGCTGTCTTAATAAGACCCCCCCCCCCCCTAAACTATACACTTAAGATAGCATTACTTGAAGGCCCTGTCAAACATAATGGGCAACATATCCATAATTAGCATGTCGAATAACCCCTGTAGATAAAGTGTGAGCGGATTCTGAAGATTCAACATACTAGACTACCTAAGTGAAATGGTCATTTTTACATGTTTAACATTGTTTTAAAGGTGAATTAGCTATCCGTTTTTGCACTCAAGACAAAGCACTACTCCTTCTTCGTCCATTTCAGGAATCCTACTTCAGAAGACCTCCAAACTGTGGAATTAGAAGCCAACCAAAATCTCGTTTTTCCCATTTTTCGCTTTTAATGGCTGTGCTTTCACCAACTATTACTCAAAGCAAAGAAAACGAATTAGGCTAAAATTACTCCTTTGAAAACTAGGAGATCTAGGCTATCGATTCATATAAATACTGTCCGCTAAAATTGTTTTTTTGATATAGTTAATGGCCTGGGGCACCCCCCCCCTCAAAACCTGCGGCAGCCGCAGGTTTTGAGGGGGGGGGGGGGTGCCGCAGGCCATTAACTATATCAAAAAAAAAAAACATTTTTAGCGGACACTATTTATATGAATCGATAGCCTAAACCTTGTAGATTCCATAGGACTATTTTGAGCCTGATTCGTCTTCTTAGCTCCAAATAATATTTGGTGAAAGTACAGCGATCAAAAGCGAAAAATGGGAAAAACGAGATTTTGGTTGGCTTCTAATTCCACAGTTTGGAGGTCTTCTGAAGCAGGATTCCTGAAATGGACGAAGAAGGAGTAGCGCTTTGTCTTGAGTGCAAAAACGGATAACTAATTCACCTTTGAAACAAAGTTAACCATGTTGGAATTTGACCATTTCACTTAGGTAGCCTAGTATTTTGAACCTTCAGAAATCGCTCACACTTTGTCTACAGGGGTTATTTAACATGCTAATTATGGATAGGATACGAATATCATGTTATCACTATTATCAGATTACCCAACTACGACCCCCTCCCCTTTTGACTCCTCAATACAGTCTGCCCCAATCCCAACCAGGCCAAAATTGGCATGGCGAGAGACCGCGTCGCTAGGGTTTCGCGGTCACGCCCACGTCCTGCTTCTCTGCCCTCTCTTAAATCTTTCTGCTCTCTCCGACAGCGCGCACATGCAGCGCAGACCGCTAGCGCTGCGAGAGCGCAAAGTTACGCCGACGGTTCGGCCTGATCCCGATTGGAGCAGACTGTACGACCCCCCAGGTGTGGCGTGCCGCACCCCACGCTTGACCCTGAACATGATCATCTTCTTACGGCCATTCAGTCCAATCGTTTATACAAAATCATGAACCAAGCAAGTAACTCCCGGAAAACCTTAGTTGTATGCTTCTTTCATTTTCAACCAAACTACGAAGTTTCCAGGTTAACATCACTGTTTGCTAGCAAAAGAGTGATGAAAATAACACTCTCTTTGATAAGACGCAGATGTAAAACCATCATATCGTTGTTAAAAATGAAAAAGTACCCCTGACACCTTTTCGTTTGAAACAGTGATGTGTTGGTTTTACAAGTTAAAGGCACCGTCCACCCAAAGTGGGGGTTCACGAGATTTGATGGCATACTAATGTGGGTCCCCACACTAAGCCAACCCCCAAGTTTCCCCGCAAAAGATTGCTTACGGAGCGAGAAATCCGCTCCGGAAAGTACGCGATCCAGAGCTGGTCACTGCGCCCAACTGGTCACTCCGCCCATTTTGCAGGTTTGGCGGGCTGCGGCGCTGATATACGCTGGGCGTATAACGCGCCGCAGCGCTGCGACCTGCTATCCCACCCGTCCCGCTTGTTCTCCAAAATAGGGGTTTTGGGGGGTTTTCGGGGATTCTCGACTTCATATTTGAAATCAGGGCCTTCAGAAGATCCGGAAGCGACAAAAACATGGAAGTCGAAAATTTGGGTGGACAGTGCCTTCAAAGGCGGCGTCCAGGCAAGTCTGGACACATGGGGATCGTACGCGGATAGTAATTTTGGGGCCCTAACTGCCACTGCCCAGCCGGCAGCTCAGGTAGTGCCCTAACGGCTGAGATATTCTCCTCGAAACTGGACCCCGCGATCATATTGCGCATGGATTCTTGGCGCAAAGCGTGGATCCTGGCGCAAAATTGCCATGAATCCATGCGAATACGATCGCGGGGTCCAGTTTCGAGAGGAATACCTCAGCCGTTAGAGCACTACCTGCGCTGCCGCTAGGGCAGTGCCTCAGTTAGAGCCCCAAAAGTACTTTCCACGTAAAATTCCTACAGGTCCAAATTTGCCTGAACGCTGCCTTCAAGATGAGTGAGGGAGATCATTCTGCAACTTCCTATGAGAAAGCTTATTTGTTTACAGCTTAGATAAGGTTATGGGAAGATGCAAGGCTGAATATCGAACTGCAACTTTGGTAAGTACTCAAGGATTCGCGCCGTGCGGGCGGTCCTCATTAAAGCTCCTCCGCCTGAGCGCACTGCATAGTTTTTGATGTACCGTGCGTGCGGTCAACAATAAAAATGCCGTGCAAGCGGAAGGCAGTCTTCCCATTCGATCGGCACGCAATAAAATCGACCGTGCAAGCGGCAGGCAATGCGTCCGCACGATCGGCCAGCAATACTTGATCGTACAAGCGGCAGGCAATCTCGCCGCGCAATCGGTACGCAATAAAATCGACCGTGCAAGCGGCAGGCAATGTGTCCGTCCGATCGGGCGGCAAACATTTGCCCGTGCAAGCGGCAGGCAATCTCGCCGCGCAATCGGTACGCAATACAATTGCTCGAGCGAGCGGCCAGCAATGCGTCCGTCTTATCGGTCGGCAATACATGTTGCCGTGCAAGCGGCCAACAGTGACCTCTATTTTCTGCTCACTATTTTCACACATTGTGAGCGTAAACGGTACCTGTGTGAGATACGACACAGTGTTTAGGCTGGCCAAGCGTTGACACATCGTGTTATCAACATTTTCTTCTACTAGCAAGGCTGGAACGAACCTGTGTGAGGCTACAGTTATCCAGAGTGATGGTGAGGGCTTCCCCATGAAAAGTTTGGCAATGCTGCGAGCATCGATCCGTGTTCCCAAAATGTGCAAAGGATTGATCTATCCAAGAAAAATGGTCAAGATATCGCAAATACATCTACTCCAAGAGCAAGCGAGCGGCCGACTTTCTCCGCG